AAAAAAAAAAACTTTGGATATGAAATAGCTTAATTCCTTCATTTTACAGATGAGGAAACAAACCCAAAGAAAAGTAACTTTGCCAAGATCTACAATATGATTGTCATTAGTTGTACTTGAATTATCTTCTCTTCATCAGATTTACCTGGACTAGTACACCAATGATCCTTTTGAATTATAACGCAACGTAAACTTATTTGTTCTCCAATATTAATCATGATTTTATTTTTTAAATGGCTCTTAGATTTCTCCTTATCAGCTAATTATTCATTGAATACTAAGTTGGTAGGTTGTGCCTTTCACATTTATCAAATTAATTATTTATATATTTAAAGTATTTTAACACTAATCCATTTTCACTAGGCTCAGTAACAGCCATTGGTTGTGTTAAAACCTAGTAAAGATTGTAGTCACATGAATAAACAGTCAAGTGTTTACTTAAGTAGCACATTAACTACAAATTATAACACTGAGAATAAGCAATTACATTGAAAACAGTATCAAAGCAGTTATTACTAAATGGTGATGGATGGGCTTTTAATTTGTTGCCTTAATTTTAAACAGGCATTATAGTTAAATACTGTTGTAGCATGTTACATTCTTTTTTTTTTTTCCAAAAATTTTACTTGACAGACACAGCAAGAGAAGGAACACAAGCAGGGGGAGTGGGAGAGGGAGAAGCAGGCTCCCCGCTCAGCGGGGAGCCTAATGTGGGGCTCGATCCCAGGACCCTGGGATCATCACCTGAGCCAAAGGCAGACACTTAACGACTGAGCCACCCAGGCACCCCAAGCATGTTACATTCTAATGAGGCTGTACATGCCAAGTGTCCAGTAACCAAAAAAGGAACTACACATAGGATACTTGGAATTGTGTTTTGTGTTACGCAGGATGCAGAGAGAAGACATTTATCTACTACATCTCTAATAGACTATGCATCTGACTGAGTAGTTGAATGAGTAATATAAAGGAAGGAAGCAAATACCTCAAGCCTGGAAATGACCCACTAGACATTAGTTTAAAAAAAAAACAAAACAGGAAGTAAAGCATAGAGTCTTTATAAACGTCAGTGAGCTAAAAGCTGTTAAACTGGTTCTTTCATTAGAAACCCGATGGGCTTGAAATTATTTTACTCCTCTTCATCTTGTAGGCCATACTAAATTGGCATAATACCATTTTAACACTTACAGAAAAATGTTTTAATACTATGCTTTAAATGAAATCCTTATTAAAGAAATATATTAAAATCATATGGAGAAAATGCTGTTTTTAAATAATTTGTGATATTTTGTATCTACTGATAAAATGTGCATTTCAGCTATTGTCCTAGATTAATTCAAGGTTGAGGGGTTTTTTTCTCCCCCCATAATTACTGCTTAAGGTAGTGTCTTGCATTGAGGTAAGAATTGTACTGTGTAGGTCTATGGATATAGGAGTATCTGAATTTTAAAACTTTAAATGTACTGCTCTGTTCCAAATTATTCAAAGTATGGTGGATTCATGGACTTCTAATTAGCATTTTACAGTATAAATCTTACTCAGATGAAACTTGTGTTTGTATTTAAACAATTTCAAATTGTTTCAATATATTCAAGTTAAAGTCCAGAGGTCATCTAGATTGCTTCACCAAAGTTAGAGATTTTGCTTTTTTTTTCCCCCAGCTCTTTCAAGTCTGGAAGTTTGAGCTCATCAGGCCTTCTAAGTCCACCATGAGAAAATAGGTTGGGCAGGGGGGAGAGAGACCCAAGAAAGCTTATATATCCCTGAATACATGTGAAGCTATCGAAAATGATAATTAAAACTGCTAAAGTATCTAATATAATCCCAGTTGAAAAATGAAAATATAAATTGTTATACCTCTGTAAAATAAATGATTATGTTGAGGTAATGGGATTATAGGTGAGTTATTTTCCTTTTCTAAGACATCCTCCACGTAGCTGTTATTTTTTTGTGATTAAAAAAGAAGAAAAACTTGTTTTTATTTTCACTATCAGAAATTGGCTCTTTTTTTAAAGTCTGGGCTTCTGAAATCATAATCCTAGGATAGACCACGGAGAAGTAACTCCAAATAAGTTTTTAGCCTGGATGTCAGAGCAGCAAATAAAAGTCAAAAAAAGATTCCTTGTATTTGGATGATTTTTTGTGGGTTTTTTGGGAGGTGGAAGAGGGTGGTTGGTAGAAAATGTAACATTGTATAATATCAAAAACGTTATCTCATTGAGTACCAAATCTATTAAGTATTTTTTAGGCAGTCCCCACATACTACATCTGTTAATGTTACAAACTTAACAATGCATTGTTTACAATTATTACTTTACCATCTGTGGTCGTTTCCTCAGCTTGTTAACAGCTTTGCTCACATTCATCTCATTTGTGCTGTTGGCAATTACACTATATTACCCTTATGTGTTATAGGCCCAATAGGTTACAGGTGACCCTTGAACAAAACAAGTATGAACTATAGAAGTCCATTTATATGCAGATATTTGCAATGAATACAGTACAGTACCA